GGCCAGCAGATTGAGTACGGCTTTCGCCTGCAACAGTCCGCCGTGCCTGGTGATCTCAACCTGGAGCTGGTGGCATCCTCCCGCCCGGTGCCCGCGGAGAAAATGGCCGTTCCCGTGCCGGAAGATATCTGCTCGTATGCGAGGTTGGTTGGTGTGTGTGTGTGTGCGCGTGTGCGTGTGTGTGTGTGTGTGCGCATACGCATGCATGCGTGTGTGTGTGCGTGCGCGTGTGCGCACGAATCTAGGCCATACTTATGCATGTGTTCTCGCCTGGCGGGAATTGGGAACATCTCTGCACTCCTGGTGTACATGGTGTAAGGGGCCGTCCATAATTGTCGATCTTTTACACGAAGAGAAACAAGTTTCGTTTATGGGTGGGTGGGTCAAGGGGAGCTTCGTTTCGAAAAAACTAATATTGATATGAGAGACATTCAAGTCAATCTATTTTTCGTTCAGGGGGGGGGGGGGCTTGCCTCTTCTGGTGCTGAGTATTCTGAAAACTGATGAACGCTCACATTGACTCTAAACAATATCCTGCCACATTTTGCTTCACTGATAGCAAAGCATTTGGAATAACTAGAGATGGGCAACTCAACAATTGGGTTGCCTAACCCCACTCATGGGTTGCCTAACCCAACACATGGGTCGCCTAACCCCACTCATAGGTCACCTAACCCAACACAGGGGTGGCCTAACCCAACACATGGGTTACCTAACCCAACACATGGGTCTCCTAACCCAACACAGGGGTTACCTAACCCAACACAGGGGTTACCTAACCCCGCACATAGGTCGCCTAACCCAACACAGGGGTCGCCTAACCCAACACATGGGCCACCTAACCCAACACAGGGGTTAACTAACTCAACGCATGGTTTGCCTAACCTAAGCGTAGGCTGTCTAACCCAATGCATGCTGGTATAATGCTGCATTCATGACCTTATACATTATGGAATGACAATGACAATCTTGAGCGCCAGCTGTTTATTCCCTGTCCTGAAATCGATTGCTGTAAGACCAGAAATGTTAACGAACATTTTAATTCTAACGATTTAACGAATTTTAACCATTCGTCAACATTTGAAGTCGTTATGTGCAAAACAATAAGGTATATGATTGTACAGTCATTTGCCGGTTTGAGACAGAATTCGTTAGAATTTCACCTCGCTAACCCACAAAAATCTGGAGATCGTTAACTTTATTTGACGTTAAAATATTTGGTCTTACAGTAGTTTTGTTTGAAAATTCCCCTGGTTTGCAGTAGGTTTTGCAATTCTGTGTGTGCGTGCATGCGCGTGTGTGTGTGTGTGTGTGTGTGTGTGTGTGTGTGTTTTGTGTGTGTGGGTGGGTGGATGGGTGTGTGTGTGTGTGTGTGGTGTGTGCGTATGTGTGTGTGTGTGTGTGTGTGTGTATGTGTGTGTGTGTGTGCGTGTGTGTGTTCCTGGACAGCCTTTCCAGTGGTGGAGGCGAGCAGGACTATAGCATTTTAGCACTGGACAATCTTCCTGATTGTATACCGTCGCGTCTGTTGCTGGATATGAACTTTGATGTCCTGTGCGAAACGTCGCTATATCAGAGCTATGAGCTAAAGCGGCTTGCTGTGCACGATGCCAAGCGCTCGACGTACGAACAGACTAAACTTTGCGCCATCAATCACATTCTCCTTGGTCAGGTTAGTGCAAGTGTGTTCGTGTGTGTGTGTGTGCGTGCGTGTGTGTGTGTGTGTGTGTGCGTGTGTGTGTGTATGTGTATGTGTGTTGGGGGGGGGGGGGGGGGGTGCATGTGTGTGCACTCTGATTTAGCCACCCACACTAGTAGCAAGTATCACCTTCACTGGGGGCAGGTGTGAGTGCAGTTGGATCCCGGGACGGATACCCTGATGCCGTCAATCCTTTTTCTGCACCTTGTTCTCACCCACTTACTGAGGTGTGGTGAGCCCATAAGTGGGATCATTTTCAAGTCCACCCAGAGTGTTGGGGATTTCAGGGGGTGTCGGCCGTTGGGCGGTTCAATAGCCAATTGAGTCATCTTTCCAAGATTCCTTTTGAGTCTCTCTCCCTCTCCCGGGGAGACCCACATGACCAGTTTTGGCAGTGAGCAACAAGACTTAGTACAAGTAGTGTTTGTGTGTGTGTGGGTGTGTATGTATGTATGTTTGTATAATGTACGCCTGCATGTATGTGTGCGTGTACGCATGCGTGTTTGTGTTACTTTCCTCGTACAGACGGATCATGCTGTGCAAATGCTGCTGGAAACAGAGGCGGACAATGAGAACTATCTTGCAGACTGTCTTCGGTGAGTATTGTAACGTTACACATGCACACACATACACGCATGCACACACACACACACACACACACATATCCATGCACACATACACACACACACACACACACACACACACACACACACACACACGCACCAGAGACGAATGGCTGTGGAGCTGTAACATCGCATGAAATCCTGGTGCGGAATAATTAAAGCTCCGGTCTATCTGTGTTCATGGTGGGTTGAAATTCGACCGTTGAAAACTCTCATGTGAACTCAACCCTATTCTCCACGTTTTGGGTCGAGATCATGGCAGAATTATCAGAGTCTCGCTGTTGTGGAGCGCATTGGATGTTGCATTGAAGCCATCGACACCGAGGAATACTATTGGTTTACTTGCTGCTTGTTTTTGAAGAGTTTCTTTCCTTTTGTTTGTGGGTGTGTGCGTGTGTGTGCATTTGTACTATAGAGCATGCCTTACAGCAAGTATTCGATCATCTGGCGCCTCTCAAAGCACCATCAAGCTTGTTGCCACTAACTTCATAGCCAACGAGAGATTGGATGGTATGGCCGGATTTTCAGTTATTTAGGACAATAGACATGTTTTGAATGTGGGTGTGGGTGTGGGGGGGGGGGGGGAGCAACAAGATGCTATGCCTATCGTAGTTTCCTGCTCTCATCGTTCTTGCTGAGGAGCTCTTCTTTCAGGGCTGGAGGTGCATACAGGTGTGTGGGGGTGTGGGTGGGTGTGCCTGTCTAACTCTGTGTCTTTCATTCTGAAGACCACCAGTGCAGTCAAACTGGTATTTTCATTGCTGATCAGCTCTGTTCCTCAATATAATGATCCAGTCACTCTTTTTATCGCCATCATAATATTGGGCATCATTGCCCGTTTGGTCTGCGATACAAACTAAAATCTCAACAACAGCAACAACAACTCCCGCCTTCTATGTGTCAATGTGCGCACATGTTCATTGTCCTGTTTGTTGTTTTCTTGTTGTTCTTGTTGTCTCCTTGCAGAGGGTGTGCGTCTGCTGTGTCTGATCCACAAGGGGCTGGACGCTTGCCGCTACCTACAGACCTACGGCCACTGGGACCAATCTGTTTGGCTTGCAAAGGTGAGAACCCTTACTATAGCCCGTTCAGAAAAAAAATGAGTTCCTAGTTTTTGGCCATAAACAGGTCAAATTTTGAGTTTTTCACAATTTTTTGTGCAATCCCCGTGGAATGCTCTTCCAATTGTGTTTCTGAAGTCCACTGCATCACTGCATTGTGCGGTTCGAACCCCAGTTGAGGTAACTTTTTGGACCCTTTTTCGAACTTCAAGGTTTACGAAAACCCAAAGACATGGTTTGGCTGACCGCCGCCCATATGATGTTACCAGCTGAATGTCTAAACAAACTCGGACGGAGAGCCAACGTTTGAAATGTTGCCACGGTAGTCTTTATCGGGCCAACTGTTGCACCCTGTGACTCACCAGTAGCTTGCTTATACTGCAAAACGTGTAATTTTAGGTGCATTTAAAATTCCGGTGCCAGAGACCTGCCAGGTGTCAGGTGTAATTTAGAACTAGGTGACCAGCATTCCCTGCGCATACAGTGCATACTCTGGTGCCTTGTAGGTGTAATCTACATTCAGGTGCCTGTTTTCTCTACCGAAATCACCGAAATTAAAGTTACACCGAAAATTACATGTTTTACAGTAATTGTCAGTGTTGGACAACTACGTATCACCTTTCGACCGTTTGGTCCTTTCTGCTTTAGCTGAGTGTCCGTACGCACGTCTTATGTTGCAGGTCAGTCTCTCTGAGGATGACCACTTGGAGGTGATCGGTCGCTATGCCGACCATCAAGCCTCGCCCACTGTCAACAACAAGGTAACTATGAACGATGCACTGTCTTGTAGCTGTGAAGTGGTATACAGTGAAACCTCCCGCTCAAGGGACCTTCAAAACCTGGTCTCTATTACCAGGTGGTCTCTATTACCAGGTGGTCTCTATTACCAGGTGGTCTCTATTACCAGGTGGTCTCTATTACCAGGTGGTCTCTATTACCAGGTGGTCTCTATTACCAGGTGGTCTCTATTACCAGGTGGTCTCTATTACCAGGTGGTCTCTATTACCAGGTGGTCTCCTTATCCAGGGTCATTTGACTGGAAATAGCATCCCTTGGTCCTGATTTCAGTTGTCTTCTTGGACAGGTGGTCACCTTATCGGAGTGGTCGCCTTGACAGGTTTTACTGCAAACTGGTTTGAGTAGAGTTGTTTCACATCTATCACATGACCATACAGACCAGCCATGTTGGTTACAACTCCACTCTACTCCTGAACCTGAATCTATGGGTCATGTGATGTCGGCCATGTTGGTTCCACTGTTCACATGCCATGGTCACTTTCTGCACAAAGTTGGTCACACGCTTTTTTAGAAGCTGCTGTGTGTCTGTATGGGTACATGTGCGGACGTGTGTGTGTGTGTGTGTGTGTGTGTGTGTGTGTGTGTGCATGTGTGGGTGGGTGTATGTGTGTCTGTGCGCGTGTGTGTGTGTGCGTGTGTGTGTGTGTGTGTGTGTGGGTGTGTATGCTCCTGTGCGTGCCTGTATCCAGTGTCAAGCGGTGCTGCTTCATCTCGCCCTGGAGAGCTTTAGTCGTGTGATTGAGCTTCTCATCAGGTCAGTGTTGTGTTCTCGTGCTGTTTTTTTCTCTTTTTGATTCAGTAGTTTGTGGCATGATGGGGAAACAGAGGGTACCAGGTCCAGGTCATGCTTTGAAGTGGAAGGATTTTTTCCAGTCGTGCTGCGACCCATAATTAATTGGGAACTCTCGGCCTGGCACATAATGCATGTGTGCACACACATGCATGTGCATGTGTGCACACACATGCATGTACATGTGTGTGCACACATGTACATGCATGTGTGCACAAACATAATTATGCATGTGTGTGCACACACACACACACACACATGCATGTGTGTTCCGTATGTTAAGAAACTTGCGTCGTGTATGCAACACAGACATTCTGTGTTGGAGGTATGCCTTATGCCTTTTCCTAATCTACAGGCCATTCATCGGAAACTGTCCCGCTAGCTTTTGAAAGTCTGATTTGGGCCGAATTGAGGATCAAAACCCACTTTAAATCTCAAAAATCTGGGTTTTGGATCTGCTTCTCCATACATTTTGCCATGGCATACCTGCCCCAATTTGGTAAAACCTGGCTGAATTTCTATTTCCCTGTTCTTGGACTTTTCTGGCCTCAAATGTGGCTAGGAGTAATTTCACGGGTCACACAATGCATGGTGTACTGTTGTTTTCACGATATCTTCAACTATGTGCAGGAGACACCAAAAAGTTAGGGTGCCAGTTTCCAATGAATGGACTGTAGTTCCCTGCCGACCCTTCACAGTCACAACACACCTCAGCTTCTTAACTCTTAAAGTGACACTTCCAAGTGTCGGCGGGCATGGCACAAACTGACTTTCATCACTTTCCGACAGACGGTACTGATGCTAAATTGAAGAGCGCATCGATAGGAATGCGTCAATTGTACAAACGCACTGTTTATTAGCTTTGACGGAATACTGGTATCTAAATTATTATCTCCACTTCTACCAAGTTCGCTAAGTGAGCAGTGCTGTCATGAAACAGTGGTGACAACCTCGGGTGGTGATTATGAGAAAGTTGGACCCTAATGCTAGTTTCAATGAATCGTAATTTGTTTTCCAATTGGCTACCTTCTTGTGTTCTGCCAAAAAGTCAGTGAATCGTAAATTGTCTTCCAATTGGCTACCTTCTTGTGTTCTGCCGAAAAGTCGTAGCGTCAATCATTGTCGGCATTGCACACGATTGGTACCGTCAAGGGTACATGAAGCCCAGACAGGGCCAGAGTGCTGGCAGGGTAGTCACTATGTAGGCTTGGCCAGAGCACCCTGCTACACCATTTGGGGCATTGGTCTAGGCGGCTAGAAGTTCGCCAAGCACAGCATACCCTTATACACACCGTGACTCCCATTGCACGTAAGAGCGGCCTAGGCTGGGGGGGGGGGGGGGGGGCTCCCCAGTTTGTGGGTACCTGACAGTAGGGTATGACCAAGAGTACATAACCCCCCAGAGTGTACAATGCCTGATCCAGCTCTGAATGCATTGGGTCTTGGTCGAGCGTAATCGGATATTTGCGTCATAATACCGTACAGATCTGAGGGGAACCCAGGGAGTCGCGGGGGACTCTCGGATCAAAAATAACGGTGCAGTGTACGCATGACATCAGAAGATCCGACTACGCTTGACCAAGAATCTGACTACGCTCGACCAAAACCCTATGCAGAGGTGAATCAGGCGTTGCATACTGGGGGGGGATGTACTCTTGGTACGACGTTGACAGCAAGAATATGAACACCCAGGTTGTTAGTCCGCACTTATGCTGTCCACCCTGGCATTGCCTGGTGTGTGTGTGTGTGTGTGTTTTAATCTACGTCTCTTTCTCTCCCTCTGTGACTGGGGCCCTGGGGCTCACCAACAGTGAGAGTGAATGGCTAATGATGATTGCCTTGTGTCCACCTGTTGTGCTCTGAGTGCTGCAGTTGATAACTAATTAAAGTTATCACTTGTATAGGAGTACTTGTGGAGGGAGTTGCACTGTTTCCCTGAAGCCCCAATCCCACTCCAGCACTTGTGCGAAGTAGACTATCTGTGACCTGGTGGCCAGTACAAGTAGCAGTTAGGGGTGAATTAGTCAGAGATGGTGTACAGCCAGACCTCGCATAACCGCACACATACGTTTTCCACAAAAAAATATCCGGATAGGCGAGGGAACCGGGTAATCGAACACACATACTGTATGTAAGCATGGCATATGCTGTAAGGCCACACCGTTTTTTATCTCTGTTTCGCGTCCCCCGCGCGCATGTATTTCACAGCTGGAATTTAAAAAAAAAAAAAAGGAACAAAATTTTTTTTTTTTGAAAATGCAATACAAATTTAATGCAAACCCAGAAAACCGGAAAATGTAACTCAGCTCACACACATGTACCTGGTACATTGTACATGTGTGTGCAATAAGCTGGACCGCAAGTCACACAATCATCATGCTGCCTGTGTTTGGACCACAAGCATGGCCCGGCAGAGGGGATACACTCATGTATTCATGTACACGTACATTGTACATGTCAATGTACATGAACAGTGCTGCGTCGCTTCACTGTACACAAATGCAATGCACGTACACTTTTTTTTTTTGGATGGCTTTTTTTATTTTTTTCGCCCTCCCTCATTGATTTCATCGAATAAGGTGACGCGAAACATAGAAAAAAAACGGCGTGGCCTAAATGGGTAACCAGCGATTTTCTTCCGGATGGCGAGGGATCCGGATAAACGAGGTGTGACTGTACTGTTTTACTGGCCTATGTTCCCACCTCTCCCAGGCAAGACTGGATAATGATGACTACTTGAAGTGTGGCAGGTATGCAGGCTGTCATGGGGCCACGATATGCATTGGTCCTTAGGCTGTTGAGAAGTGTAGAAGGCTGTGGGTGTGCAGGGCTGTTAGGGTGTGTAGAACACTAGAAGGCCGTGGGTGTGCAAGGCTGTCAGGGTGAGTAGAAGGCTGTGGGTGTGCAAGGCTCAAGTATATCCATGCTACTTCAAAATTCGAATGGTTTGTGTCACTTGTCCCTTGGTGCATGGCGTGGTGATGGGTCATGATAATGATGATGATTGCCCTGAAGGAGGTGGCAGCAGTGCTGATTGGCGTGGAGTTTGAGCGTGTGTGTGTGTGAGTGTGTGTGTGTGTGTGTGCGCGCTCGTGCGTGCGCACGGATGTGCATGCAGTGTTCGCTCTCATGGTCCAGTCAGGTGACAGTGGATAAGGAGACCACCTGTACTCAGCGACCACATCTTGAAGGTCCCTTGAGCGGTCGCCTTCGACAGGTTTTCACTGTACATGTACATGGTCTACTGCAGTACAATCATCTCAGTGTTCACCACTACTAGTACACCTGTATAAGGAAATGTTTGCCCCGCACACCAGCTGCTAGTACATGTATCCGCATGGCAGGAGTAGATGTACATGTACATGTGCATTCTACAGCGAAACCTCTCTAAGACGACCGCTCGAGGGACCTTCAAAACCTGGTCTCTGTTACCAGGTGGTCTCCTTATCCAGGGTCATTTGACTGGAAATAAATAACATCCCTTGGTCCTGGTTCCAGTGGCCTTCTAGTACAGGGGGTCACCTTATCGGAGTGGACGCCTTCACAGGTTCCACCGTACCTCAAAAGAAATAAGCCTTGTTTAGTAGATAGCCACCATGCACCATGCTGTCAAACTTTCATGAATCCACATGAATCATTGTTACTGAATCTCCAGCTCCGGACAGCTAGCTGGGAATGTGTGTGCTCATTATATGCCTGAATAAAAGAGGCTGATTGTGTCATGTAAACAAGCAGCCAGTCTTCTTGCTCCCATGAATCTGAATCCCAAAGGACGTTTTTAACCTGATCATGGAAAAGCGTTCACAGATTTGTGGTGGAAGTAGTGTGGGCGTGCGTCCGTGTGTGTGTGTGGGGGGGGGGGGCGGGATCCGACCTTACCAGATCCGACCCTCGTGCCTTACACTGCTGATGCATACGTGGATAGGGTATTGGCCAGGCCCTAGTTTTCTTTCTGCCCGAGAGAGGATCATGCAGGTTGTGTGACGTACACCTTGTACTTTGAAGCAGTGTCAATGTGATCATGTGATGATACAACAGGTAGCACTCTGCTCTTGTCAGTCTTACTGGTAGTGGCTGTCACCTACTGGTCAGAGGGGTGCTGGAATTACGATTTTGGCATTGTGCTTGTGTGCCAAAACTACGAGTACATTGTACGTGATTGCGTAGTGTCACTGGCTGTTGTCACTCAACTTGTCAGTCATTGGTGTACTGGATGTGTAGACTAGCATTCGGTATCTTTGTAGCACACGTCCATCTGTTGTGCGCCATGGATTTAAGCTCAGGATGCCAGTGCTTGTCTTAACTAGTGTGTCAGATTGCATAGGTCCCAGCGCCCATGTGCGTGTGTGTGTGCGTGTGCCTGCGTGTGGTAATATCCCTGTCAAGCTGCTGCCGTCCTGATCTTTGAAGACAGATGTTGCTCATGGCAGGTGGTCTCTCTCTCTCTCTCTCTCTCTCTCTCCCCCCCTCTCTCTCTCTCCTAGTTTAGTTTCGATTGAGATAAGTATAATATCGCTTGATTGTGAAATAGTTGTTCCCTGGTGAACGTTCAAGTGTTCGTCTTGAGGGGTAGGGAGCGAGTCTCGGCACAAGTGCACAAAGTAATTAGTATCGTCTTGCAAAAACATAATGGTATGTTTAAGGACGGTTTCTTGTTGCATGCCCGCCCCCCCCCCCCCCCCCCATGGACTGTGTGCTGATCTGGGTCCGCTAGCACAGCCATTGCAAATGAGATCCAACCTGAAGAATGCAGCCCAGCTCCGGGGCTGCACCGCCCTAGCACTACCCACACTAGGCTGTGCTGTGAGCATGCCTCTGCTCTGGCCATCAGGTTGGATTTCATCCGCCATCAGTGTACAGTCATGACTGCACAGTCAACCTTGGTAATAAGGATCCTCTAATCATCATCTCACTTGAATCTATCCAACCACCAGAGAACATGTGGGTGGAGGTGGTGGATCCACTGACTTGAATTATAAAAATGTTAATACCAGAACAAGAGCATTCCTCTGAAAGTGACCTCTCCAGTACCACTTTCCTCATGCCTGTTCAACTATACCTACCGAGTGGATTGGATAACAAGGTAAGTGTGTAGTGCCCGCAGGCCGGATAAAAGTCATTGCTGTGTGTCAGCCAGGAGAGCAGTGTGTCTATTCCTGGGAAATCTGGCGTGCTGATGACACCATGCTATCGGGGCGGTGTGCCACTGTTATCAAGAGGAGGATGGAGGTGACATTTGCGAAAATGCACTGTGGTTCCTTGTGGTCAGCTGTGCGCACTGAGCATTGAGCAAGAGCTGAAGGTGGGCTATTGACCTGCAGTGCAGTGGGTGCACAGGAGTGTGTGTGTGTGGGTGCCTGTGTGTGTGTGTGGGGGGGGGCTGTTGACAGGTACAGCCAAGCCACAGATGTGCTGTCTCTATGTTGACTTCTTACACTGGTGTGCGTGTTTGTCTGTGTGTGCGTTTGTCTGTGTGTGCGTGTGTGTACACGTGGTTTGTGTTGCTTTCACAGCATGCAACACTCGGACATCGCAGCGTGTTTCATCGAGGCATGTGTCGAGTATGGGGTGCTACCAGCTGGCCCAGAAATGGGTAAGACTACCTTTCTCCTTTCTCTGACTTGCAGAACACAACCTTTTCCAAGTTGCCATTTTCTTTATATAACTTGAGTGGTTCAGCAACTTGTTTGTTTGAAGTTTTATCTTCCATCGCTAACCAAACGGACGCCCAATATTGTGATGGCGATAGAGTAAAGATGAAGTGTGGCTCGGTAAAGCACACTCTGTGCTCGTACACAACCAGTCAATGGGTCAGGTCTGGGTGCGAGGTGATCTACACGACCGCGAGATTCGTCCCATGCGTGATGCTGCCATGGATATCCAGTCAGCTGAGCTCCAATTTTGCCGCGAGCCATCCCGACCAATCCCGGTGCCGTGATGTGGCTGGGGTTGGAAATGGCATGATGTGCTATCCCTTGACTGCTTTGTAGTTTTACTTCCGATTTCGTACGTTCACGCGTGTGAATGCTGCTATCCCGATCCCAGCAGATGTTGCTATGTCTAACTTGGCTTGTTTGTTGTCATTGCTACGGCAATGTGTGTGCGTTCGTGTGCGTGTGTGTACATGTGTGTGTACGTACATGTGTGCATGTGTGTGTGTGTGTGCGTGTCTGTTTGTGTACGTGTATGCGTTTGTGTACGTGCATACGTCTGCGTGCTTGCTGCTGCCGTTGTCTGTGTTTGCTCTCCAGCTACGACGGTGGAGACAGCGTTTGCCGAGTACGCCAAGTATCTGCATTCGCTGAACATGACCAAGGCTGCGAACCATTACTGCTCCATTGCCGGACACAGAGGACGCCAGCTAGCTGCCTGGATCAACCTGCAGGAGTAGTAGTAATATAACAACTTCAAGAAACCAAAGCGTGTACCCACAGTGCGAGAGTTTGTCACGCTGATCTGGTGTGCTTCACGTCCTGCGGCACACAGACATACACACACTCCGTACGCAGTGGCATGGTGTACGGGGTGCAAGCACGTTCCTGCGTGTGTTCCCGCGTGTGTTCATGCACCTATATCACCCGTCTGTAATGCACTGCACTGTTGCGAGGGAGCAGCGCGTGGACTGTACCATGGCAAGTTGAATGGCCGCACTGATTGGCGTTGCCCTGGTGACGATCACGTGACGTTGTCTCCGACCCGGCATGTCAGTGCATGCCCTACCAGTCTTCCATGACATGTGTGGTTGTGCAAGGGTCCATCCGCGCATGGTCCGTTGCATGTATCTTATGCCACTGCCGCAGATGCATGTACGTGTAGGTGTGTGGGTCCGGTTGATCGGCAATCTGGGAACTGTGTTTGAGCCTATACGCTATGCCGTGTATGAGTGTGTTTTTATGTAGATATATTTACAAAACCCACATATGTGTATCTCTCGCTGTTCCTGCGTACAGGTTTGCAACACAACATTTATTCTATGTTCATTTTCTAGCCACTGCCCCCCCCCCCCCCCCTCCACACACACACACACGCACACACATAAATATGTGCACGCACGCACAGACACACAAACGCGTGCATACACAGATACACACACACACACACACACACACACATACATACATACACACACACACACACACACACACACACACACACACCATCCCTTACCAACAACATACCTTTGCTGCATGTGGTAGCCGGTATGTGCCCCGAGATGCATTGTGTGTTTCCTGTCCGTTTATCTGTCACTCATCTGTCAATAATTTTATTCCGTTCTTCATTTCCGTCGCCTGCTGCAATGCGCCCGCCCGCACATGGCTAGACACGGCCAGTGGAAGCTGCTTACAGGCAAGCATTTCTGATAAAATATTCCTACTTATGAAGTCCCCAATCTCCCAATGTAGTGCCAATGGCCGGTCTGCTCTTTATGAGAATTTCTCTACTGCTGAGACCATCTTTCCCTTATATCTGTGTGTTTTTCTTCTGGCAACGTTGCCTTGGGCCTTTTTCCATTTTACTTCCACACGTCTATGTACAGTCACTTACCCCCCTCCCCTTCTCATCCGTTTGAGGTGTCTTGCGGACTGCGTGTGGCCACCCAGCTCATTTTTTCTTATTTTTATCGCTGATACTCAATTATGATGCACCCCTCCCCTCCTCCCCCCCCCCCCTTCGTCCCTGCCCCATCATTCACCCATTTGGACCTGTCCTCCTAACCCCATCATTCTCGCCTTTTTTTCTTGGGCTTGTGGTGTGCCGAGTCTGCCCGACGTCTACGGCGGACATGCCCCTGCTCGCGTACAGTGAAACGAACTGACCAAATCATTCATTGCTATCAATCACAAACTGGCACTGCATAATTGTTTGCCTTGGCCAGTCGACCACTCCCAGCGATATCTACGTGACCATTTTTATTTTTTTCCTTGATCGGGTTCTCTTTCGACCACTCTGAACATGACTGTACATGTACATTGTACATTTTGTGCTTGATCGGGTTCTCTGTCGACCAGTCCAGACAATCAGCCCCCCGAGAATACTCAGTTCTTCATGTTGTTGGTTTGACAGCATGAAACAAGGTGGAGGACGCTGTGTTCGGAAACAGTGACCTTTCTGCAACCACCCATGGTTTATCTAACACCTTAGTTCTGCATGTACCTATACCCGCAAGCTACAAGTGATGCAGAAAGAAAGCAGAAGGTCGTGAGGTACGTGCAGGCTATAAACAGTTGTTTTGTTTATGGACTCTTGCTAGTAGTCCATGATGCATGCAAGCACAGGATAGAACGATGCTGTGTCAGCCACAGCCGCTGCATACTGCCGTAGTGATTGCTTTCCGCGGCCATATTCGTCCTGAAGTCACATGTACAATGTAGTTGAAAAATGAAATGCTCCGTCAATGGTCTAAAGGCATTGACCACTGTTGTCAGTGTTGAGTGTTGATAGTGTTGCCGTGATAAGGGATTTGCGACGAGGTGCGTAACAAACAATAACCAATACCTATTGACCATGCGGCCCCCGTGCTAACGTTATCAACACAGGTACTAGGTGTCAAGAGTAGCAACAGCTGAATAAGGCCAAGGGTCTTGACGCCGCGCCGTCAACAAGACATTGCACATGACATCGTGCAACTGAACATGCACCTCGCAGCTAGCTGTACATTGTACGAGGTTGACACCTGTCAAAATAGGCACCTGGCTTGCTACAATCGTCACTTACAATGTCACAGTGCAAGTGCAGGACCTAGGCCTAGGCCAGGGCCTAGCTTGCCGCAGCTGGGCGCCACCTCACTCCTCAGAGTACCCAGCACACATTGCACAGCGCATGCAGCAGGCGCTGCATGCCGCTGTCTCGTCGCCACACCTTGCTACTTCTTGACTTCAGCTATCAAAATCCATGTCAGTTGAAGAGCCGTGTCTACATTTTTAGCCCACGTCATGACCGAAAGGAACGTATCGCTCCGCTGAGATCTTGACCTGATAACTACATGCACATGAAAAATGTAAGTGTGCAATGTAGATTGATGGCAGATGATACATGTAATCTCGTAGGCAAATATCGAACTGCATGTATCATGTGTATGCCAAGCCGCTATCACACTCACAGGTATCATTCACTCTTTGCTCTATACACAGTGTTCCGACACCTCTTGACATGATCAGTTGAGGCTGCGTAGGCTGAGAAAGAGTGGGCCTGAAGAACACTACTTGTATAGTGCTCTCCAGGCGCAAACATCGCCAGGGATACATACTTTACAGAGACGCTCCGTTTCCAGCGCGACAAACACCAGATAGCAGCATGAGTCAGTGTCGCTCTTGGACAGTGAGAACAGACGTTGAGCTCCGGCATGGGAAGCAAACACCTTTCCTATAAAATAGCGTGCGTCCGACAGTGGCGCTCGTGGAGGTGTAGAACAAGCGTTGATGACCTTGATTGGTCACCCACAGCGTTTACACCTCCAAGCCAGAATATCGCAAGGCCGCGCTGGGCACAACACTGTCAACAGTACGAAAAACTTTCTTATAGTAAATCGCCGAAGTCGCTGCCACAAATGTCACATGCATTCATGACCAAAGAACAGACAGTACTACTACTAGAACATGCACAGTAAAACCTGTCAAGGCGACTACTCTAATAAGGCGACCACTCTAATAAGGCGACCACTCTAATAAGGCGACCACCTGTCCTAGAAGACCACTGGAACCATTGGCTGAAAGGATGCTATTTCCAGTCTAGTGACCCTGAATAAGGAGACTACGTAGTAACAGAGACCACGGAGACAGGTTTCACTGTACATTAAATTTCACTGGAAGAGCTACATATACATGTACATGTACATTGTGCTTCGAAGTACACATGTAGGCGTTTTAACTCAACTGTTTGGAGTGCCTGTTGCCTTTCAGCTCAGCTCGCAGATTATTCCATAAACGGTAAACCTGGAAGTTCGGTCGATACTAACCGGAACGATGGCTAACAAATGGCAGGGCAATGCCGGAGATGCCATGGGTTGCTGGCTATCATCCTGCCCTTAATTAAATCTGACGGTTTGGCGATCAGTGAAACCTGTCAATGAAACCTGTCTATGACGACCGCTCAAGGGATCTTCTAGACGTGGTCTCTGTAACCAGGTGGTCTTCTTAACCAGGGCCATTTGAGTGGAATAGCATCCGTTGGTGACGGTTACAATGGTCTATTGGGCATGTACTGTAGTTAATGCGGACACACCTGTCCTCTTGCTGAGTACTGGTAGCTCTAGTCCAGACCCGATCCGAGTATTGATTTGATCCATCCTGCAGGTCGCAGGTAAAGTCTTCGAACGCCCGACTCTTGTTCGTGATGGAGAGGATTTTAGCAGCAGTGTTGGAAAACAAGTGTTTGCGCTGCGTTCGTGTACGACTAGACTGTACATGTACCACTATTGTATGAAGTAGTACATAGTGGTGTAGGGCAAAGTCGATCGAAACACCATGATCACTGTCACTTGACGGCATGCATATGCCAAACACGGCTGGGCTTAACAGCGTCCTTTAGGGGCAAAATAAACACAATGAATATTTTTTCCCAAGTGTTCCGCAAAACGTCAACTGGGCTGGGCTGGGTGTTGGCGTCTTCAGGGTGCTGTTGCTGTTTTACTGGGCGGTCTAATGGACTTGGTCATGGCCGAGGCAAGTGCCGCCCAAAGAACAATCCGAACGACACCTGCTGCTGACGACGGTGCGGCAGAAGTGGCTCAACAGTGTCAGCACCCACGGGCCAGTGCTATTGTCCGATAGACATTGTACATGTACATCACTACATGTACAGTGTACATGGTTGTACAGGTCCGCCCATTTGTTGGGCATTGGTTGTGAGAGTTACCACCTCACCCTCGCCGTTAGGCGCCGCATCTGCCACCCTGGTATCACAGGCATGGTGGTGGCCTGGCACAAGCAAAACGTCCTAAGCTGGTTGTGTTTCTCAATACAATTGTATAGCCGGTGGTAAGGCGGACGTGCGCACTGTATTACTTATTTGTTCTACACGTGTCTAGATAGACTGCATGATGTGCATGTGCACGTATGGCCCTTAGTGAGCAGCATTGCCTCGGTGTGGAGGATCGACTCAGGCGGGGCGGGGCGCTAGGCAGCTGCTGCACTGAGGTTATCCAAACCGCACGTTTCCTTACTGGCTATGGTGGGCAGTTTTCAAGAATGAAGCACAGACTCAAAAGTCAAAATGCCTTCACACTAAAGAAATGCAGTGAGCGTTGGGCTGTCTAAAGACATTTCGCCCAAACACCATGTTTGATGAGGATCTTGCCCCTCAGACCTGTGGGCTGTGACCAGTTGGTATTTTGGTCAAGACTCAAGAGGCAAGAAGAGGGCACGTGTTCGCTGGGATCCAAAGACTGCTGCACTTCATCTGCACAAGGATACGGTGAGTAGCATGCTGCTGCCCGCATTGTGTTGTGCGAAAGCCGGCTGTCAACCAGTACTGCAGTATCTCCCGGCCTGGGCAAGCTGCAAAGGCCGCAGATCTAACATCTTTCATTCACTACTAGCGCACTGTCGGCTTCATTTGAAGGATCTCTGCCGCTTGTGGCTATGCTGGTAGAGGTGCAGCTCAGCTTGGTTTGACTGACACGACACTCTCAAGCCAAGTCAAGTCAAGTCAAGTCAAGGCGACTTCACACGAAGTTCATGTACATGCACATGTAGCATAAATTCGACAACAGGATCAAGAGAAAACATGCAGCAATGTAGACACATCTTTCACTCATTGGTACCATTGTGCTGGCAGTACTAGTACTGTAGTGCAGCTGACCGAAATCCGATCAAGCTACTGAATACCACTCGGCACTGGTCTTCCTGTCACAGCAGCGGGCGCGAGCCACGGCACAACAATTTAAGTAAATGCAATTTATAGATAGCAGCACTTCAATGTGCCGATAGGTCTGTGCCCCACAGCAAGACCTGTGGCTTTCCTCGTGCACAGTGATGCTTAGCACAGAGCTAGAGCACCCTTGCTCTGCTCTCCCACTCCCAGCTCTCTCTCTCTCTCTCTCTCTCTCTCTCTCTCTCTCTCTCTCTCTCTGATCTCGCTAATTCCATTAACAGAACTATTTAATTGGCTAAAGCAAGCAAACAAGCAGGGCAACAAGGGAATTCTCTATCAAGTCTCTGCTCGCCAGACGACGATAGTATGCGAGGAGTACAATCGTCATGTCCCTGATGCGGTATGGTGCTCTTGATCAGCGCTACTTGTATATCTTGACGCGGTTGTCACACTATAGAATGTTCTTCTGTAGAATGTTGCTCCAGGGACAATACCGCTGCATAGATGACTAGCAATTGGCATTAGAACCGTGGACAAAATCATTGTCGGAGCCCAGCACGTGTCAGCTGCGTACAAAGGGCCACATTGTTGCCACCGGTGGCGCTGCTGGATAACAATTGTATTAAAATGAAATGACATTACATGTGCATTAATTGGACAGCAGCTTCAGAGAGCGCTGCCAGACAGTACATGTGGGTTATACATGTACATGACTGTA